CTGCCGCCGTGGGCGGCGCGAGCAGGCCGCTCTTGGCCAGAGTCGCGCTGATCGCAGGGTTGACTTTGACCTGCGACAGCTTCTTCGGCGCGCGCGCCGCCGCCACCGGCGAATCCAGCACGCCGCCGCCGCCGGCCGCGCCCTCAAACGCCCCGAACCCGTCGCCCGCTCCGCCGCCGCCGGCGCCGGCGCCGTCGCCGGGCGAATCGGGGAGCGCGCCGTCCGCCTTGAGGCGCGCGATGCGCTGCCGCGTCGCCTCTATCGAATCCAATTCCTCCTTGTCCCGCCCCCCGGCGCCCGCCTGCTGCCGCCCGATCGACGCCTGAGAACCGTACGCGCCGCCGCCGCCGCCCTGACGCGCCGAATCGAAGCCCCCGCTGCTGTAGCCGCCGCCGCCGCCGGCCGCCGCGCCGCCGGCAAAGCCGCCGTAGCGGCTCTGGCTCGAAGAGACGCCGCCAAACTTGCCGCTGTTTTTGGCGGCGCGCTCCCGCTCCTCGGCCAGCCGCTCCCTGTCGCTGATGAGGGCGACCAGCGCGCCCGCGCGCTGCCGCACGTTGATGCCCTGCGGCAGAGGGGGCGGGGGGGAAGCGGTGCTGCTTGGGGTGCCACGGGCGGCCGCAGCGTCGGAGCGCAATCAAGTCGTCGCCGCGGCAACTTGCAATGGTGCGAGCGTCCCGGCGCGGCTCGGCCAGCACGAGAGACGCCACCTGGCGGCGCGGCAGCCCCGAAGGGCCGCCCCTTGCCCGGCGCCGCGCCCTCCACCCATGTTTGCGTGTTTTGTCTCCGTCATACAACACGAGTGTGAAGCTGGGCACGTGCAATTGTCAATCCCCTGCCTGCCAAACTCCCGACGCTGCCGCCCACCACCTCTGTCAAACTGCAGTCCCCATGCTCCTCAATGGGCGCCTACATCAGTCCCCCACCCGCCCCACAACGGGCGACACCCCTCCATCAATCTCAAAGTCCCCTCACTCCCCTCTTTCCCCCCACTCACAAAACACACACACACACACACACAAATGTACACACACAAATGTACACACGCTCGCACTCTCTCACGCAGGCCCACCTGGTCGCGCCCTGAGGGCTCCTTGTACTCAAACCCCTCCTTCAGCATCTCCAGGCGGTGCAGGCGGTTTGACAGCAGCGCGTCCGCGATGCGCTGGGGGCCCAGGGTCCAGGGTTTAGGGGTGGGGGCGCGCAGAGGAGGGGGGTGTCTTGAAAGGTGAGGGGCGAGGGGACAATAAGGGCTCCGTGGTGAGTGGGTCTGCGGGGGCCTCGGCGCCCAAGAGCTGCTTCTGTTTTTTCCGCTTCTGCTTCTGCTGCTGTCATTTCCTCTGCTGCTGCTGCCGCCGCTGCGACTGCGTCCCGCCGCAACCAGCTGGCCGCTGCTGCAGGCGCAGCCCCTGTCCCTTGCAGGCGCCGCGCCGCACGACGCCCTCTTTCTGCCGCCGCAGGCGCCTTCGCGCCACATCCCCTCCGAGGTCGACACGCACGCGCAGCCGCGCGCGTGTCAAACACATCCATCACCCCACACCGCAGCACGCAGACTTGAAACGAGCTGGCAAACCCTTTGCTCCGTAATACTGTCCTGTCTTTGCAATTTCGTATCGTATTGTTCCCCCGCTTCTCCCCCCCACCCCACACACACACACACACACACACACACTTGTAAACACGCACACACGTGACCCTCACCGCGGGGCCGTGCTTCACCATGTACTCCAGCAGCAGCAGGCTCTTGTACACCAGCCGCCAGTTGTCCCCCACCTCCGCCATGCGCATATCCAGCACGCCCTGCACGCATGATTATGGGTTGAGACGGCGGGGGTGGGGGGATGACAGATCCCGCAGCGCGCCGCTCGAATTCATGATTTAATGCATGCGCACGTTTTTGCATCAGGAAAGGCGTGAAGATGGGCGTCGGGGGGGGGGCGAGGCGTCGCGGAGCGGCGTGCTCTGGTTCAATAGTCACAAGCCCCGCTGCCTCGTGCGCCCGCCGCCCACCATGATCTGTGTGAGGCCGTCTGAGGTAAACGCCGCGTTGGTGATCTCTGCAAGTGGAGGGGCGGTCGGATGGGCAGGCGCCGCGAGGTTGGGGGGCGGGCTGCACGCACGCTTGCGACGCTGCGTGCGGTTTCGGCTGCGCATCCTTTACGAATGCAGGCGGCGTCACGGCCACGCACCTTGCATCGCGGTGCCGTGAGGGCCCCCTGCAGGCGGGTCATCAGGCAAGAGGGGAGCGTGTTGAGTGCCAGCCGAGATCAGGCTGGAAGACAACACGACATTGCCATAACTTGAGCCAGGGCAGCACCAGCACCAGCAGCAGCCGCAGCAGCAAGCAGCAGCGGCGGTGGCGGCAGCAGCGGCAGGGGCGGCCGGGGTCGGGGCGGCAGCGTCGGTGGCGGCGGCACTACCAACAGCAGGAGCAGCAGCACGCAGGGGCAGCAGCAGCAGCGGGGCAGCAGCAGCGGGACGACTGTACGGGGCTCACAGGGCTCATGATTGGTGGCCTCCATAACCTTGATTTCCAGTTCTGTCATATTGTTCATATAGGCCTTCGCCTTGTCTGCGAACTGCTTCACTTGCTGCTTTGCCCCGGGGAGGAACTTGTCCAGCTTGTCTGTCACGGTCCCAAGGATGGAATCCATCTTTCTATTTATCCTGGTGCGATCAGGCGCAAGAGCAGCAGAGTTGCGTGGAACAATCGAACTCAGGCTGTCCGGATGCGCTCTGTATCATAAGCAAGAGAGGGTCGTCCGAGAGAACAGACGCGGATTACGGCGTGTTTGTGTATTGAATACAGTACGGTATGGCCAGGAAGAAAGGCCAGATCATGTTGCAGTCACTGCAGCACCCCTTCGGTTCCCGCGGTTTGTTGATTTGCTGCGTGCGTGCCCCTGCCCTGCCTCTTTCTTGCCCGTGCAGCTTCTCTTCTGTGGTTGCAGCTGCTGCCCGAGGAAGCCAACATGGGGGTGCGTGGCGGCCTTGAAGCGGGCAGAGGCCATATGGGTCGGGCTCCAGGAGCACCGCGCTCATGCAGAAAATGATTCGGAGCACTCCTAAAACCCACAGCCGCCGGGCACGCTGGCTGGTTCGAGTTAGCAGTGATGGAAGCGTGCATGCGTGCTGCTGATGCAACGGCTCGATATGTGCAAGAACGTGGAGTGTTGTAGGCAACGTTCCTACCCACCAGGGCTGACCAGCGGCCGGCGGCGCGGACATCGCAACTGGCGCAGCGGCCGCTGCAGTGCACGCCGACGTCCCCCCGGCCGCCTGGCCCCGCCCTCACGCGGCCCCGCAGTCCCTCGTGAGCGGCGATGAGTTTCAGCACATCCTGCGTGTGCTGAACACCAACGTGGACGGCAAGCAGAAGGTCATGTACGCCATGACCGCCATCCGCGGCCTCGGCCGGCGCTTCTCCAACCTGGTCTGCAAGAAGGCCGAGGTGGACATGAAGAAGAGGTGAGGGCAGCTTCTGAGCAGCTGCTTGGTGGTTTCAGAGGATGCTGATGCGTGCGTCCGGGGGGGGGGGGGGCTGGGGG